GCGGCTCTGCCCGGGGAGAAGCGGCGCGGGAGGGTCGGGAGCACCCGAGGGGGAAAATCAGGGGAATGTGAGACACTGAGTGAGTTTTCCCGTCCCCAACACACAGGGCTCGGTCTCCGTGTTTAAGCCCTGAAAACACTGACTTTGTGGTTTTTACGTGCCCGGTCTGACCGCACGGCTCGGTTCCTGTCCCCGAGCCCCCGGCTGAGCCCGGTCTGGAGCCGTGACCCCCCGGCGCCGCCCCCGCACCCCAAACCCCGGGGGTGACTCCCTCCGCGGCCCCCGAGCTCGGTCTCCATCTCACCAGCCTGGGCCCTGCTGCCCGAGAGCCCCCGGCCGGGCCCGATCCTGAGCCCCAAACCCCTCCCCGTTGCCTGGGGTCGCCCCTCGGGCTCCGGGCTGGCGCGGCCCCGACCCACCCCGCACCTCACCTGACACGGACGGACAAGGCCTGAGGGGACGGCGGGAAGCAAGATGGCGGGCCCGGCGGGGAGGGAAGATGGCGGCCCCGCCCCGCGCAGGCGCAGTGCGCTCCGGGCAGGCGCCGCGCTGTCATGGCGGAGAAGGTGCAGAAGTGGTGAGTCCCCTTGTGTCCCCCACCCCGGTCCCTCATCCCACACAGATACATACCGGGACCCGCCTTCCCGCCGCTTCCCCCTCCCCGCATCTCCCCTCATGGCTCCCCCCGGGGCCCCCACCCCCGGATCCCTTCACAACCCCCCGTCCCTTCCCTCAGCGTGAAGATCGCCCCGGGGGCCGTGGTGTGCGTGGAGAGCGAGATCCGCGGGGACGTGACCATCGGTAAGACCCCGTTTGCCCCGGAGGTGGGCGGGGGGGTGGTGGCATGGGGGCCGGCCGCAGGGTGACACCGGGCTGTCCCCCGGCAGGGCCCAGGACCGTCATCCACCCCAAGGCCAGGATCATCGCCGAAGCGGGACCCATCATCATTGGGGAAGGCAACCTGATCGAGGAGCAGGCCCTCATCATAAATGGGTAAGAAACTGGGCAGTGGGTGCAGGGGTATCCTCATTTCAGGGCCAGTGACACAGCTTTGAAGGTTCATGAGGTGGACACCACATCTCATAAGGTTCGCCAAGGGCAGGGTTGGGACAACCCTCGGTATCCATACAGAGATGGAGAGCAGCCCTGCCAAGAAGGACTCGGTGGATGGAAAGCTGGACAGGACCTGGCAACATGAGCCCAGAACTCCAACCACAACCCAGGCTGCATCAGCAGCAGGGTGAGGGGTGATGAAGTGGATTCTACCCTTCTGAGATCCCCCCCTGCAGTGCTGCCTCCAGTTCTGGGGCCACCAACATCAGAAGGACATGGGCCTGTTGGAGCAAATCCAGAGGAAGCCATGCAGATGCTCAGAGGGCTGGAGCCACCTCTGCTGTGAGGACAGGCTGAGAGAGTTGGTTGAGGTTGTCCAGCCTGGAGAAGAGAAGGCTCCAGGGAGACCTTATAGTGGCTTTTCAGTGCCTGAAGGGGGCCTGCAGGAGAGATGGGGAGGGACTCTTTATCAGGGAGTGGAGTGACAAGGGGTAACCCTTTTAAACTGAAAGAGGGAACATTTAGACTAGGTATTAGGAAGGCATTCTTTCCTATGAGGGTGGTGAGGCACTGGAACAGGTTGCCCAGAGAAGCTGTGGCTGCCCCATCCCTGGAGATGTTCAAGGCCAGGCTGGATGGGGCTTTGAGCAACCTGGTCTGGTGGGAGGTGTCCCTGCCCATGGCAGGGGCTTGGGACTAGATGGTCTTTAACAGTCCCTTCCAACCCAAACTATTCTATGACCAGTCTTGTCAAACGGGAGCATGTGCTTACACCTCCTTAAGGAGGGGGGCGTTAACTTAAAACCCCTGAGGAGGTAGAATTTAAAAGAAAACAAAGCAAACTTTTGTACCTTTGTGTATCCCAGTGGCACGGTGACTAGGGAAGAAGTCCTCTCTCTGTGAGTCCTTCTCCAGCTGACAGAGGAGAAGGATCCCGATCCTGAGAACGCCTGACCCTGTGCAGGAGGGAGCAGTCTCACAGCCCCGGGCAGTCAGGCTGTATTGATGGGATACACAAAATGGAACTGCCAAACAGGACAGTAACTTTGTGACCTCAAAACTCGAAATGCGTTCTTCCGTCTTGCAGGTACCCGGAAAATATCACGCCAGAAACTGAAGATGTGGAGCCCAAACCGATGGTCATCGGCACCAACAACGTTTTTGAGGTTGGGTGTTGTATCCTTGCCGTGCAGAGAGACAGTCAGTCCCATCTGCCACACTTTCGGATTGGTGCCGGGGGAAGCACGCGTGGGCTCTGTCGGGGTTTAACCAGCCCACGGCTATTTAAGGTGCAAGGTGTTGGTTTGAAAATGGCGTTGCCATTGACCTTTTGAACTAAAAGCCAACCGTTTGACAGTTTTCTTTAACCCAGACCCGTAGATTCCCAAGCAATGAAGGTGGGAGATAACAACGTCATCGAATCCAAAGGTAAGTCTGGGCTCACCGTCTTGGCCCTTGTGAGATGCTGCTCTTGCAGACGCTGGGAGCGGCGTGGGGTTACGTGGCGGCATCTTGCTGGAGCTAAGGCCAAGCTGCAGCTTGTCACAAAGCTGTGATTTTTCACACAGGACCCACGTGTGTCGCTGGCGTGGTGGGAGCTGGGCTGGGCTGGCTGTGGCTCCTGTTGCTGAGCAGCTTGTGGTGTTGGAGTTGGGTGGTGCAGGGTTGAACGGCGCTGTGGGCACCGCTCTGACAGGGGTTCCTCTCTCTCCCCACCAGCGTTTGTTGGCAGGAACGTCATCCTGACGAGCGGCTGCATCATCGGGGCCTGCTGTAACATCAACACCTACGAGGTGATCCCCGAAAATACCGTCATCTACGGGGCCGACTGCCTCCGCCGCGTCCAGACCGAGCGGCCACAGGTGGGTGCAACGCACGGGTGACAGACACGTGGGTACGACACACGGGTGACATGCCATCACCTTCCCGTCCTCTGCAGCCCACCCTGCTGGTGACAGCAGGGCCGCTGCCTGACCTCCCCTCCCTCTGTTTCCAGCCCCAGACACTGCAGCTGGATTTCCTGATGAAGATCTTGCCCAACTACCATCACCTAAAGAAGACCGTGAAGGCCACGTCCACTCCCGTCAAGAGCTGAGCACCTTCTGCCACTGTGGGTTTCATCTGGCTCTGTGAAGCACTACAAGGCCCAGAGAAGTGGCCAGTCCCCTTGCCTCTCATTCCATCCTTAAAAAGAATAGTCTTGCTTATTTGTGTCCTTTATTTATATTCCACCGAGCATCTCGTAACAGCCTTGCGTCTGCTGTCTCTCACGCACTAACTCTGTTGCTTTGTTTTTTGGAATAAAATGTCACCTGCTTTGCTTTTCTTTCGAGGTGGGGGCTGCAGTCCTTTCTGGGTCAGCTGAGGCCGCAGGGGTGGGTGTCACGGCGGCCACCTCCCTGGGGGACACCCCTGGGGACACCCCGGGGGGACACCTCCCCGCTCCTTCCGCAGCCTGCCGGCAGAGGGAGACGGGCCCACGCCGCGGGAGAGCGGGATCCTCGGGAGGAAGGGGTTGTCCTGGCCCCCCACCCGCAATCCATGCCCATGGTGGGGTGGGGAAGGCTCCGGTGCCACCCTCCCTCCCTGGACCACCCC